GGTTGTTACGCTCATCTTAGTGGAGTGTTTAATGACTACGGGATTAGGGTTAGGGTCTTGGTCCACAATGCGCTGGAAAGCTCTGCTGTTTACCTACTGCTCCTTTCCCTGGCTGGTCTCTGGTACCTAATGGCTCTCAGACACAGCGCCGCTGTCATATCATGAGGAGGGACCAACATGCCTTCACTCCCAGAGTCTTACTGGTAAAGTCAGAATCATCTATGTGAAAGGGAGCATTTAAAAATCATTGTTATGCTGGGAGTGAAATGTCCTTCCTAAGGAATCAGGTAGTCTTTCCATGGTCTCACTCACTAATCTCCATAAAGTAAATGGCCATTTGACTTTCCAAAATGAGCTTGTTTTCCTTGGGAATTGTTCAGTAACCATCCCCCAATGCACAGTTGAGTCTGCTCACCCATATTCTGTCAACCAGAACTCTCCATTCACCAAAACTTCTGCAGCCTTCAACACAGTGTCATCTGAGACCTGGGGCCTGGGGTGGGGTGCCCTCGAGACGCCCAAGTGCATTGCAATTCTTGAGCATGATTAAATCATAATTGTTAGCCTGGAACCGGTTCTTTAGTTTATTGTGATTCCCATATGACCACTGGTATGTCTTAACTCAGGGTTACCTTGAAGGATAAATGTTAAAAGTAGGAATCATTAAATAGGCTGATTTGATTCAGTAATTGCTATTAAAGGCATTACAATTATTTAGTAAATTGGGATTTAGGGGTGTTGGGGAAAGAAACAAACATGTCTATTGAACTCCTTGGGACCGAGTTTTTCTGAAAATGTAAAATGAGGGCTTGCAATTAGAGAATGGTTCAGGGCTCCTCTTGCCCTGCTATCTTGTGGTCTTAAATAACTAGAGGTTTATAGTTTCAGAGATGTAATGCATATAGACCTTGGCGAGTACTCCTTTTTGTCTAATCGGTTGCTAAGATCAGGTATCTATGGAAACAATCATTCATTAATATTCCAGACAGGAATTTTTTTCTTTTTATTGTGCACAATTACATGATGATGAGTGTAGTGTTCCTTGTATGATGGCTTTTTGCAAGAGCTGTCATAGAACCTGGATTTTTTATACTTAGGAGACAAGCAGAAAGATACTTCTCTCTGCTTTGGGCTACCTCCATATTTTCAGAAACTGATGGCCTAGTCCACAAAACCTCATAATTACTCTTCCCAGTTCATTGCACAAGTTTTGGATATTAAAAGTCTTCTCTCACCAGTGGTTTTATGAGTTCAAAGGCAAGTTTATTTTGAAAACCTTGTCCTGTATTATTTTTGTCTTTCTACTCATGTTTGATTGGATTGGCACATTGAAATTTTTGTATTTCTATAATTCTGTTTCTGTGTACTATGAAAACTCTCAGAGATGGGTGCTGGATTTTCTTCAATGTGAATGTATCCCTGGTGGAAGGTGGTTTCTGGGGATGGTCAGCTTTCCTGAAAGCTTTGCCTTTTTAATTTACAGCTTGTATAAAGAATAAAACCTTTCTTCTGATAATTGAGTCAAAAGATGGAAAAAGCTCTCTTTCTCTTTTTATTTTGTTTTTCCTCAGCGTTCCCAAAATTGTAATCTGGTGTCTAATATGTCTTAACCCAAGAAAATGACTTTCTGGCCTGTGTATTTTCCCCCTTTAACTGTGTATTCCTTTCATTAAACTCTTTGAATGTGCTATTTGCTATCCATTCATTCTCTATTCTAAATAAATATTTGAGTTCTCGCTTTGACATAGCACCATAAGGCCCTAGGATTATCTTGGTGACTGAGGTAGATAAATTTCCTGTCCTGGCAGGACTCACTGCCTAGGAGGGGAGAAAGTGTCCTCAGACAGTTGAAGTACAATGATGGTCAGTTTTAATGGAAGAACACAGGGCATGTGTGATCTCAAAGAAGGAACATGTAACTCAGATGTGGAGGTCAGAGAGACCCTTTTGGAAGAAGTGACATGTACTGAGACCTGGAAGAAGCATGTGAAAGCAGAGGGATCAGAAGGGGGAGGAATGTTTCAAAGAGAGGGAACAGCATATGTGAGGGTGTTGGATGCCTGAGGTCACTGGGGTGGAGAGGGGGGGGAGGAATCTTAATACTGGTCTGATTCTCACTGAGCTCCCCAAATTATATTTCAAAGAAAATCTTTGCAATAATTTGACTTCATTTTAGCTTTACCAACTCAAAACTAGAAGGACAATGCAAGTTCTAGGTATGTTTATGAATGCAGGGCAAGTCATTTGGCCCTGGATGGCTTGGGCATTGTCTGAAGTTTATGGAGAGGCTATGTTCATTAACACCCCCCTTAAACTGTTCATGCATGCCTTTCTAAGAGAATAATTATAGGTGGGAAGCAGTGTAGAATTCAGCTTCCCTCTGAAAAAGGGCTTCTCTTGACACAGAGCATGGGCCCTCTGTGCCTAGGCACAAAGGAAAGTCAAGTGGAGAATGTTTATTTCCAGAAGCAGATCTAAGCCTGAACTGTGTCCTGGGTTCCTTCGGGATGTTCCAGAAGTCAGAAATAAATTCCGAGTTGTTGAACATCGGTCACCCATTTGGCCCCAGACAGCTGTGAACTAACTCTGATGACCAGTGATGGCCTACACGGGCAGTGGGTGAGCCTGAATCTGGAAACTTGGGGCAAACAGGCTTGATATTTTGAGCAATGGTTGTCCTCTCCTCATAGTGCAGATAATGTTCACCTGAGGGACGTACTTCTGTGAACTCACACAGATTTTGTGATTACTTCTCTCCCCAAAAATAAATTGTGGAAAAGTAAAGAGCACTACAATAATTCATAATGGCAAAAATTGTCACTGGCACATCACCAGGAAATCCCTGTGGTTTATGGGTTAAAACAATGGTTATCAAAGTATGAATCTTGGAACAGCAGCAGCATCAACCGGGAACTTGTTAGAAATGCAGATTCTCAGTTTCACTCCAGACCTACTGCGTTAGAAACTCTGGGCAGGACTCAGCAATTTGCGTTTCAACAAACCCTCAAGGTGATTCTGATGGACGCTGAAGTTTGAGAACCACTGGAATAAATAAGACAGGCTACAGGCAATGAGAAAATCCTGTGACTTATATTGATTAGTTGCTTGTGACTACCACCCCATTCTCTCCTCTTAAGAAAGTATCTTGGAGCCGAAACCGGTTTGGCTCAGTGGATAGAGCGTCGGCCTGCGGACTGAGGGGTCCCAGGTTCGATTCCGGTCAAGGGCATGTACCTGGGTTGCGGGCACATCCCCAGTAGGAGATGTGCAGGAGGCAGCTGATTGATGTTTCTCTCTCATCGATGTTTCTAACTCTCTATCTCTCTCCCTTCCTCTCTGTAAAAAATCAATAAAATATATTAAAAAAAAAAAGAAAGTATCTTGGAGCCCAGCTGGTGTGGGTCAGTGGTTGAACATCGACCCATGAACCAGGAGGTTATTGGTTTGTTAAGATCAGGGTAACTGCCTGGATTGTGGGCTCGATCCCCAGTGGGGGCGTGCAGGAGGCAGTCAATTGATGTTTCTATCTCTCTTCCTCTTTCTGTAAAATCAACAAAAAATGTTTGTTTTTTTAAAAAAAGAAAGTATCTTGTAAGTGAAAGTGATGTCATTATGAGGACAGCCATGAATTTGCACAAATTTATTAAAATATTTAACATATTGTTAACTTTTTGATACCTTATTTTTTCTTGTTAATAACACATAACAAAAGTCACAATAGGGATACCACAGTTAACTACTGCAGTTCTATTACTGTGGTCAGAAAAATGGCTTTTATTTATTTATATTATACCTTATACCAGGGGTGGGGAATCTCCGGCCCAGGGGCTGTATAAGGCCAGAGAAATAATTTGGTCTGGCCCTGCCAAGGCATTAGGGGTGAGTTAATGAAATGTTTGACCACATATAGCAGGCTAATTTTTAAGTTGATAATTTTGAATGACCTGCAAATGATGTTATAAATATCCAAATGGCCCTTGGCAGAAAAAAGGTTCCCCACCCCTGCCCTACACTAAGAAATATGCTTGAATTGCTCTCCAAGAGACACATATATGTGTGTATGACCAGGACAAATATTTCATGCAATAAAACCCTTACTGTATTTTATGTGCTGTTTGTTAAAAGTATGCTTGTTGCAATCCATTAAATTGATCCTATGACCCACTATTGAAACATGACCAGCATTTGGAAAAACATGGATGTGGTAAGCTGTCTTTGCATGGACCCTGTCTCTAGACCAGGAGAGGGATGGTCTGGCCTCACCTCTGTATCAGGTAGACTTGACTTTTAGTCCCTGTTCTGCCACTCTGAGCTGTGTGACCTTGGACAGTTTAGTTCTCTGAGCTTTACTTTTCTTACCTGTCAATGGAGTTGATAATATCTACCTCACAGAGTTGTGACAAGGGAATGACAACATATTTCATACAATGGCTGGCAGGGGTAGCTACCACCTTACTTTGAAATGGTACTGTTAGCACTGTTTTTAGATCATCATCAGTTACATACATTTTTGTGGTAACCACCTAAAGCAGTGTTTCACAAATATTTTCCATACTGCAATGAATAAGTACTCCCTATAGTCTATGCATTCAGAAATATTTTAAAAATAATTTTATTTTAAAAATGCATCTGAGTTCTACACTATATTCTAAAATATACCCAAATTTTGATACATATTTTAGAATATTTTGTTTTAATATAAAATTTCATCTCCCTGCCCCAAATCCTTGAGGGTACTGAAACTGCAGAAGATGCCACTAACCACATGTACTCTAAACATAGATAGATCTTATGGTTGTGTTTCTGTGGGAAGATGCTCACTTTTTTTGAATAGTCATGCCTGTTGGTGATTAGAGGCAGCATATATGTGGCTCTGTAAACTGGCATCTCAGGTCACCCATGGACCCTGGGCAGTTAGCAAATGTGGAAGCACCAGGGATTGATCACCCATGAATCCAATGTTGGGGAGACCCAGCTAATGTTAACTTGTCTTTCTGGAGGTCATGATTGTGGTCGGTGGCCAGGCACCCAAGGCGATCCGCAGCGTGGAGTGCTATGATTTCGAGGAGGACCGATGGGACCAGATTGCTGAGCTTCCTTCCAGGAGGTGCAGAGCAGGTGAGCAGCGCCGCCGCCCCGTGCGCAGCTGCCTTCGCACGCGTGCCTCTGCCTGGTGCCTGAGTCCTGCTTTGCTCCTTGTTTCCCCAAACATCTGTGCATTACAGACTCTCTTTCTTTTTCTTCCCACTTGCCCAATTTCTAGCTATACCTTCTGGGGTCAGTTCTTATGTGTTTAGGGACTTCAGCTAAAATTCAAGTATTTGCTTGAATCAAACAAAATTAGAAAAGCAAATATGAAAAAAATCCAATGAGTCCCATAATGACTTCCAAATATCTAAGGTTGGAGATCACCTTCTGTGGTAAGTTATTCACATGCCTGAGACGATCTCAGTGTGTCTTGGTTTCCTGTGCCTCAGGTGTGGTGTTCATGGCTGGCCACGTGTATGCTGTGGGCGGGTTTAACGGCTCACTACGTGTGCGGACAGTGGATGTGTATGACGGTGTGAAGGACCAGTGGACGTCCATTGCCAGCATGCAGGAACGCCGGAGCACGCTGGGGGCAGCCGTGCTCAATGACCTGCTCTACGCCGTGGGAGGCTTTGATGGCAGTACTGGTAGGTCCTGGACACAGTCCCCACCTGTCCCAGCCTAGGACACACCCTCCATATAACCCTGGTTTGCTCAGCCAGTTCTTGGGCCAACCCTTCTGTCCATCCATACTTACTTCCCCAAGAACATACCCGTCCTTTTGCCCAGCTTGGGTGCCAGAAGCAGGCTTTCCTACACAAAGAACATGTAACTGCCCACATGCTGTTATTTCTAGGACTCTAGGAAGGACCCGATAGTCAGAAGAGGGCCCTTTCTCCTGTCCGGTGACTGGGAACCATTCATTCAGAAGATGAGACTTAGAAAGAGAGCGTGCTTACCTGGAAGGCATCTCTCTGTAGTCTGAACCCCCTGTTGGACAGATGAGGGAGCTAAGGTTCAGCCATAGGAAGAGACCTGGCTCAGGACACAGTCTGAAGCCCCACTGAATCTTTGCAAGTTATGCCACTGCAGGAACGTCCCCTTGCTCCTGGTTGTTACCTACCTTCAAAGTTAGAATCAGAAACTATTAGTGGACACGGACTTGGAGAAGTTATCTCATTTCTCCTCATATCTCCAGGTGGAGTCTCTGTAGGCAATACCTCTATTAAAATAAAATGATATCCTTTGGCCCCCAGGGATGTGAAAACAAATATTTTTCACTTCTCTGAATTTTCATGTATGTCTTTACAAGTTGGTGACCTTTACCAGCCTTCCCTCTGCCTCACTCCTGTAACTCCAGTATTTGTAGTGCCTCCAGGGTTGCCGGTAGTAACAGGACCTGGGAATAAAGAGAACAAACGGGTGTAGGACATTGTGGTGTGTGGTTTTTTTAGAATTCTTTAGGATTTTCTTTTGGTCATATTTAGAAAAACTGAGTAAATTGTGGCTTAAAAAATGAGAGATTTTGTATTACTCATGAAACAAGAAGTCTAGAGGTTGGCAGTTGCTGACTTGGTCCAGTTGCTCAAAGATATTGGGGCCAAGTTCTGTAAGAGTCTCTTGGCCTCATCCTCATGGTCACAAGATGGCCATTACAGTTCCAGCCAATATGTTTGTGTTCCAGGTACAAAAAAGCAGGAGGGCTGTTTCAGAAATCCCCATCAGACTTCTGGGTAGGTCACATTGATTTGGTTACCCCTAGTTGCAAGGGAGTCTGGGAAGGCAAGTGTTCAGCTTTTCAGCCTCTAAGGTAGATGAAAAGGGATAGGAGTGTGGGAATAGGTAGGTGTTCAGTGAAGCAGCCTCAGGTATTTATTCCATTCTGTAGATTTAACAATTTATGTTTGCAAAGCAGTTCAGTTATAACCCCTGACCTTGCAGATGTGTTTCGGGCAGGTGCCATGGGCCGCAGAGTGCGGCAGAGGTGGTGCTGAGCCATACACCCAGGTCTGCACTCTTTCCCACCTCAGTTTCTCAGCACAGCAGGGTGAGGCTTGGTGCCATAGAAATCTCACAAATCTCTCATCTCCCAGGCCTAGCATCGGTGGAAGCCTACAGCTACAAGACCAACGAGTGGTTCTTCGTGGCCCCAATGAATACCCGGCGGAGCAGTGTGGGTGTGGGTGTCGTGGAGGGTAAGGAGCAACAGTGGGTATGGCCCAGCCTGGGCCTTCTCCTGGTTCTCTGGCTCTATTCCTTTCACTACTGCTCTGAGTCAGGTACTGGTATCCTAATTTAACAGATGAGGAAAGTGAAACTCAGAAGTGAAGCTACTGGCACAAAAAAATAAGCAAGTGAACTAGGAGGAACCTAGAAGGGAAATGCCTACTTATCACTTTGGCCACTTGTTAATAGCTTTGTTACATGTTGGGAAGGGGAGAAGGGTGGGGGATCCAGAGTCAATATGTAGAGGGGGTGAGAGTTAACTCTTTAATTAATTTTGTCCTCACGTTGAACATTAACAGAGCCTGAGTGAGGTGGGCACCTCTTCCCAGGTCTGATTAGGCCCTGCAGGGCAGGTTGGTTGTAGAGTCCTGCTCTAGTCAGGAAAGGTGTGTGGGGTGATGTGGGAGGGAGTGGGGAGGTGTGGAGCCTAGTTAGACAGTACATTGAAATTTGTAAATGGCTTTCACATCCAATTACTCATCCCCCATCCCAAACCCTTTTGAAGGAGAAGGTAAGATTTAGATTTCCTCCATTCTGGCCAACTGAATCCCAGAGGGGTAAGTGATTTGCCTCTTGAGTAAATAGCACAGTGAGTCCTTGAACTCAGGTCTAACTCCTAACCCAAAGCTCTTTCCACTGTGCTACTCCTGCAGACCATTAGAAAATGCTAATGGGGGTTTTTACAAATCTGTGTAAATTAAAGCCTAGCATATTATTTGGGCTAAAACGTTATACTTTGCAGAACAACACTGGTTTATTAGCTGTCCTGAGGTGGATTGAGCTGTAATATCTGTGCATTCAGATATCTGCATTTTCTCCCTCTCACGGGCACACACAAGACCACAGAGCGCTCTGGGGAGAGTGTAATTTGCAGTGAATTAGACATCAATGGAAGGATTCTATCTTCTCATTGCATTTCTCAGTCTGTACAGTATTGTGTAGTTTAAATTTTCATTTTATTCTAAGTCCTGGACAAGTCATCTTAGCGAGCGCAAGGATTTTATCCTCTGCAAAGATAAATTATTTCTTGCAATCTCATCCTCCTAGTGGAACAGAAATTGATTTGTCTGCCAAGTCTAAGTGCTTTGTCTAGCCACTTTCCCATTTCACCCCTTGTTTCTTAGCCAGGAGTATCAAACAATCAAGTAGGGGTTTAAATAGCATATCCCTGTTAATAGATTCAAGGAGAAACTTTCAGTGGGTATTTTTCAGCTGACACAGGGTTGGACTGGTTGATGGGGATTAGAGAGGAGGTACCTTCATGGTTGTAATTTCAAATACTCCCTTTGACAAAGGCTTTCGTGAGCGTGTTCTGTTATGTGGAAGAAGGCTGTCTTGTCGCATGCCCTATGGGCAGTTGTTCACCTTGTCCATCCTGAGTCAGAAGCTCTTTTGGCTGTGAGTCATTCTGGGCAGCAGAGTCCTTAAAGGGAGGATCTGTAGTGGACTCGGCTTCACTGTGGCCTTGTCGATGCAGCTCTCCACATGGTCTCCACGTAGCTCCTCCCTCTCATTATCTCCTAACCATGGCTATGCAGGCTGAATGACACCAGGAAAAAAACAAAGAATGGAGATCAGGATCATTTGCTACTGGCTGCTTAGAAGAATTCCTACTTGGGAAAAGGGACAGTGAGGCTCGGAGATTAGGCAGAAGTTCCCAACAGAGCAGAGATCGAGTGTTTTGGAGACATCGGTTTCTAGGAGATCACTTGGGCCGCTCCTGCCTCTTACCTGGGGTTGCCCTCCAGAGCTCCTTGTCTCCTCCCTGAGATCAGGCTTTGACGAGTGGCGGGCAGCTGGGTGAGCAGGTGGTTGTGTCCGAGCCAGCACACACTGAGAGAGTGGCCTGGACCCCGGAGGAGCTGCTGAGTCAGTTTTCTCTCTTGGGCAGAACTGGGGAGGAGGTGTTCCTTTTTATAGAAGGGCCAGTTGAGAGGACGGTAGGGCAGAAAACAAAACCAGGCTCAAGGATAGAAGAAAAAACTATTGAACATATTTGAGTCCCTGCAGGGCAGTTGGTGGTAGAATCCTGATACAGCAAGAGTCCTGATGCTAGAACATCGTTTTGAGCCTGAGAATCTCTTTCTAACATAAAATAATGGCAGATTTTCACATACTAGTTGTACTCTTGGTATTTCTCTATTAAGAAAGCACATGTTGACAAAAATATTTTAAGTAACTCTGTTAAGTAGATTTTCATCTGGTGGTGTTTATTTAGTCTACTAGAGGTCCTGTGCATGAAATTCATGCACTGGAGGGGAGGGAGTGTCCTTCAGCCCAGCCTGCACCCTCTCCAATCTGGGATCCCTCTCACAATCCAGGACTGCTGGCTCCCAACCACTCGCCTGCCTGCCTGCCTGATTGCCCTTAACTGCTTCTGCCTGCCATCCTGATCACCCCCTAACCATTCCCCTGCCAGCCTGATCGACGCCTAACTGCTCCCCTGCCAGCCCAGTTGCCCCCAACTGCCCTCCCCTGCCAGCCCGATCACTCCCAACTGCCCTCCCCTGCCGCCTGGTCACCCCCAACTGCCCTCCCCTGCCAGCTTGGTCGCCCCCAACTGCCCTCCCCTGCCGGCCATCTTGTGACCACATGGGTGCAGCCATCTTATGACCACATGGGGCGGCCATCTTGTGTGAGGGCATGATGGTCAATTTGCATATTACCTCTTTATTATCTAGGCTAGTTAGTGTTTAAGATCTTTGTTATAACTCTGAACCCATCACACACACACACACACACACACACACACACACACGACCCTCCTACTTCATTCTAAGACTACATGTTCAGCCCAAAATGTTTCAACCCCTGCTCTGGGAGAAGTCAAATAATTTACTTTTCCCAACCTCAATCCCAACCCAGGCAGAAACGATGTTCTTAGGTAACAGCTTATGATATTTTTATTTTACCAGTAGGTGATTTTGCTTCAGGGCTCAGAGATCACAAGGGAGTGTGCAGACTCATTCTAGCCATGTCAGCCCAGCATGCACACCGAGCCCTCCATTCACGTGCTCCACCTGTGAGAGTTGTGGACAGAGCACAAACCATGGCTAAGACAGAGTTTGGGTTCTCACCAAAGAATAATTTCCCATATTTGTTCTGTCCGCCTGTAGCTGCGGCCCTCTAGTTTTCCATCTCTCAGTACCTCATTCTGGAGAATACTTAACATGGTTCACCAGTAAGAATATGCTGGGCCCCTGCAGTGCTGGGCCATAGCTTTGAGCTGTGAGGAGCTCAGTATGTATGGGAAGTAGAAGTCTGAGATGTGAAGGATGCTTATCCTGGCTGGGGAGTAAGTTGGTCCCACGGAGGAAAGGGGTCCTGAGCTCTGATGCTGGTGAGGGTGGAGTTGCAGTCACCCTCTGGTTTCATGCCAGCGTCCCAAGCACCATCCTCAGCTACTTTGTCTGTTCCAGGAAAGCTCTATGCTGTTGGGGGTTACGATGGGGCTTCCCGCCAGTGCCTGAGCACCGTGGAGCAGTACAACCCAGCGACCAATGAGTGGACGTACGTGGCGGACATGAGCACCCGCCGCAGTGGCGCAGGTACGGGGGGAGCCTCAGGGCGCAGGCTCTGTCTGATCTGCTCACAGGTGGGTCTGGAGACCAGCAACTTAACATCCTATCTTTTAACCTCCCTCTTCTTTCCTTTCAGTGTACATAACCCCAGTTATCCTTTCCCTGGGGATTACTTGGCTAGAAAATGGATGAGATAATATTCTCTTCATCAACATCCCTTCATCCCTTCCATTGCTGTTGGGATGCCTGCATCTCATGAAAGTAAGGCTTGGTATGTGCCAGGCTCTGTCCTAATGACTTTCTGTGACTCAGTTTATTTAATCCTCACCACAGCCCTATGAGGTAGACACAATATCAATTTCACTTAACAGCAAGTCAGCCAGGGACTGAGTAATTTGCTCAAGGTTATATCCTTAGGAACTGGCAGAGTCAGGATTCCCACTCAGACCTATCTTACTTCAAGGTTAAGCTTTTTTGACCTCCAAATTATTAACATCTCATTCTTACAAAGTAGTAGGACAAGCACAGTGATCCCGTCTTCAGTGGAAAAGCTAAAGCTTGCCTGTCTAGTGTCTGTCTTGAGGGTTGAAAGCCAACCTGTTAGAGTTCATACTTGGAGATAAACTTAGGTCGCCCAGCTCACGTTCCCTTCTTCACGCCTCCCCCACATGGGAAGAGAAGGACTTCCCACTTTCACTTCCTGTGGGAAGACTAGGAGCTGTGTGGCCCTTCGGGATTTTTCAGGAAGTGGAGCAACATTCCCTTCTTCCTGTTTTGTCTACCTCATCATCTTAGAGGCTCAAAGGAGAGGACCTGAGAGGCCTGGAGCATGGGCACTGGATTTCTGTCCCAGTTCCTATGGGGAGTGGGGACCGATGACCAACCTGGGCCTGGCGGGAAGGTGGTGTGACTTCTGGGAAGGGAAGCAACGATCGGGCATTTCCCCCACAATGTTAAGCCTTTCTCTTTTGTGAATTTATGAAGATTGATTTGTGATCTCATTTTAAAGTACTAAACATATGACCACTTCCTCAGCATTCGTTGAAAAGTATGCCATGCTAATATTTTAAAGAATCTTTGTGTGTTTGCTGGTCAGCAAAGACAAGCTGTATGATTCCACTCAGACAGCGCTGTGGTTGGCATGCAGTTTTCAGGGAGCTTGTCTCTGCTGATCCCCACGGGCTGGCACTTCCTGAACATGCAGCAACGGTGCAAGTCAGGAGGCTGGGCTGGGTCTGCCCGGTCTGCTCCGGCTGCTGTGGGCCTCGGGCAGATCCTTTCCCTTCTGGCCTCCGGTTCCTGACATGTGAAGTGAGTGGGTTGTCGTGGATGTTCCCTTGGGGCCAATTCAGTTCACCAGTCCCATGGTTCTTCTGCCTTATAGAGTTCTTCTAGTGATTTTGGTTTATAGAGTCTTGAAAGAGTCTTCTTTGTTCTTCCTAAAAATCCTCGAAGTGATTTGAGGGTGAGAGCAAGTGTTTAAGCCCAAGGAAGTAGGGACAGCTCAGCAGGGGTGAGCAGCACCCACTGAAACGTGTGGCTGCTTTTAGAAACATCCCAAGAAGAAAGTGGAGAAGCCTTTGTGGGTAGTCTTTGGTGGCTGAGCACCTGGAGGCCCTGCCCTCTGGTTGCTCCAGTGAGCACAGACCTGCCTTAGGAGTGCAGGCTCAGCTGTGGACAGAGCTGCCTTGGAGGCCATACTGCTCTGTCTGCCGGGCTGCTCAGGGCTGTTGCTGAGTGGCGATCACTCAGGCTGCTCCTGCCTCTCACCTGGTTGGGAGCCCTGGATGGTTACAACGCTGCTGCCTGTGTTCTGGGGAAGCAGTGACCTTGATTTAGGCCAGTGATAGCGAACCTTTTGAGCTCGGCGTGTCAGCATTTTGAAAAACCCTAACTTAACTCTGGTGCCATGTCACATATAGAAATTTTTTTATATTTACAACCATAGTAAAACAAAGACTTATATTTTTGATATTTATTTTATATATTTAAATGCCATTTAACAAAGAAAAATCAACCAAAAAAATGAGTTCGCATGTCACCTCTGACACGCGTGTCATAGGTTCGCCATCACTGATTTAGGCACTGGTTTCACCTCTGGAGTTGGGAGCCCACCATGTGGTTGTGGGTAGTCTTTGGTGGCTGAGGACCTGGAGGCCCTGCCCTCTGGTTGCCTGAGGCCCTTTGTGGTGCCAGGAGCTCCTGTGGCTATAGGTCCAGGAAGCCTCTGCCTGAGGTTTACAGAGGCGGTGCCAAAAGGGCAGTGTGCCCTGAGCCTGGAAGGTGCCTGCCTCCTCAGCAGGCACGGGCAGCGCCAGCAGATGGCTGTGGGGAAAAGGCCATTTTTGGTCCTAACGTGTGCCAGTTCCTGCTGTGTGTGAGGTAGCTCTGGAACACTGCATTTTATGATCCTAAGCCAGTTTCACCCGTTTTCATCTCACCACACACACACTAATTACTAAAATTCTGCGGCACACCAAAAAATATATTTTATGCTGATCAGCAAAAAAATAGGTATAATTTTGATTTATTCACACGAGATGGCTATTGTTGTGTTGGCTCTTGTCATTTTTCTTTTGACAATCTAAGGGGAAAGAGGTCCGTACCCCTGACTAAATAGTCAAATAATGCCTGTTTTAAAATTACTGCGGCACACCAGTTGAAAATCCCTGTCCTAAGCCCGTTAGATAGTCATTGCTGATATAACAGTACCATCTGCTGTTGGTTTAGGGCAACTGCAAGGAGCCACTAGCCAACCAGCATAATTGCTGAAGGAGATTTTATGTATTTTGTCATTCAAACAATATTTGTTAAGAACCTACCTTCAGGCACAGGGAAACATGTGGTAAGACCTGGGTCTGTGGGTTTAAAACCTGGCTGCACCTCCCCATCACATGAGGTACTTTTTCTGATTCCCGACCAGGGTCTCTGGGAGTGAAGCCCTGCAGTCTGCTGGTTCAGCTGCAGCGTGTCCGGAGGAGTCCATGGGGCACTAGACCACTGATCTAGTCCAGCCCCCTTACAACGGGATGTTAGAGACCTAGTCAGGACCCGGTGTCCCAGCCACCAGGTTGTTCTTCCTAGGGTACTGTGCCACCCTCCTCCGCTCTGGCTTTGATTTTCTTGACTTGTATTAAAGGATTTTTGTTTTAATTTGTTAATCCTCACCTGAGGATTCCCCCCCCACCCCCATAGTTTTTTAGAGAGAGTGGAAGGAGGAGAGACAGAAACATCAATGTGAGACACATGGATTGGTTGCCTCACCACGTGCCCAGGTGCCCAGACCAGGGCTGGGGGTTAAGTCTGCAACCAAGGTACGTGCCCCTGACCGGAAATGAACCCAGGACCCTTCAGTCTGCAGGCCACTGCTCTAGCCACTGAACCAAACTGGCCAGGGCTATATTAAAGGATTTTTAAGGGTTATACTAAAACTTGTGAATGATGCAATTCTAGCACTCAGCTGAGGCCTATCAACACTGAGTGATTTGATGCCCTTCCCTGCCATCTAGAGGAGAACAGGGGTGGAGGGAGTGGAGAAGGGCCTCTGCTTCCAGACTAGCTGGGAGGTCGCAATAATGACCTGAGCACACCCACTGTGTGGCTGGGTTCCTCTTTAACTCTTTCTGTCCAACTGCTGATAAAAGGCTGAGTAATAAAAGTAATACAGCAGTGAAGGAAAACTAGGCGAAAGGAGAAGAAATATGATTTTACCACTCAGAAATAACTCCTTTTAATGTTGTGGAGTTCTTTCAGTGCCTCCCCCCCTTTTTTGTATATAAACCCCCACTTATTTACACTTACATACACATATTATATATATGCACATATAAAATATGTTTTTGTTTTTTTAAGTAGAAATGGGGTCATATTTGCTTTTTATTTTGATGTTTAAAGGCTGACAATCATATGAGGCGGCAGGTTATCATATTTGTTTTCCAGATGAGGACACTGAGGTACAAGGGAACAAAACAGCACTCCCATGTCACCCTGCTGGTGGCAGCTGCTGGGACTGGACGCCAGGCCCCCTGGTTTCTGGTCACTGCAGCCAGCCTGAGGCGGGGACACTGTTCTGCCTTTCAGGGGTTGGGGTTCTCAGCGGACAGCTGTATGCCACAGGTGGGCACGATGGGCCTTTGGTGAGGAAGAGCGTTGAGGTTTATGATCCTGGAACAAACACCTGGAAGCAGGTGGCAGACATGAACATGTGCCGACGCAATGCAGGTAATGTGACTGCTCTCTCTGTCTCCCTCGGGGGTTGTGGTCTTTTTCTCCCTGCAAACCCTGGCTCTAAAGACTCCCAGGCTGGGGCTGAGCTGTCTCATGAACAGGGAGTGCCCATTTGCTGGTGGACTCTGGGCTAGGGGAGGGAGAGCTTGGAACCCCAAAAGCTAGCCACAGGGTCCCCACTGAGATGCACTGAGAGGGAAGGGTGATGACTCTCAGTGCCCAGAGATGGACATAGAACAGCCCTCTGGTTGCCATCGATGCTTTGAGGACCTGACCGGACAATGGCACTTGGTTTTATCTTTCCTTTGCCAGGACCTGGCTCTGAGAACCTCCCACTTCCCGCCTGAAACCAGTCTGCTTCCTTTCAGGGGAACCTGTGAAGGGATTTATGATTCATTCTCCAATAGAGCCACTTCCCTTACTCCCTTCTTTGTATTTCCTGTCTTTCCTTCCCTACCCTTTTCCTTTCTTACAGAAATGATTTTCCTTAGAGTGTTTAGGTTTTTCTTCCTGGAGCTCAATACCCCTATTAAACTGTTTTATTTTAGAACTTTGCCCTTTGGGCCATGTCCTGTGTTGGTGATTCTGCTTTAAGCCTCCTTACTCTATGAAAGGTTGGCTTAGCCCAGCTTCCCAGGTTAGAAAGATGAACAGGTGACTTCCAGGCAGGTTATTTCCTTTAACTCAAATTACCTGTTTGTTAAACCCATTTGTAGCTGACTTGTTGAAACTGTAAACAGAGAGCTTATTAATTTCCTCATTGTTTAAGCCTGCTGTGATATAACTTGCCCTTTAAGCCACCTGAGTGAGAAATTACAGAACCTGCAAGACAGCTAGTCTATCTGCAGTCTGAGAATTAAATTTAGATGTAAATGTGTATATGTACACACATTCACATATAGATATTTCTGTTTTTTATAACAGAAGTCAAATCACTCTGTAATAGTGTTTGATAACCTGCCTTTTTAATTCACTTTACAATCTTTCATGAATATCTTATTATAAATATACTAGAGGCCCGGTGCATGAAATCCATGCATGGGGGAAGGGGGGTGTCCCTCAGCCCAGCCTGCACCCTCTCTAATCTGGGACCCCTTGAGGGATGTCCGAATGCCCGTTTAATGAACATCCCTCTCACAATCCAGGACTGCTGGCTCCCAACCACTCGCCTGCCTGCATGATTGCCCCTAACCGATTCTGCCTGCCAGTCTGATCGATGCCTAACTGCTCCTTTGCTGGCCCATTTGCCCCTAACTGCCCTCCCTTGCCAGCCTGGTTGCCCCCAACTGCCCTCCCCTGCTGGCCATCTTGTGTCCACATGGGGGCGGCCATCTTATGTGTTGGAGTGATGGTCATTTTGCATATTACCTCTTTATTATATAGGATTTACATGATATTATTTAAATGCCTATATCATAATTTAACTAATTTACGATGGGACATTTTAGATTATTTTCACCCTTTCTATAAGTAATGCTTTGGTTATTATAAATTGTCCTTATAGTTAATCAATGCATACATCTAAAATTATTTTTTAGAATAAAAGGCCAGAAGTGTATTTTTGAATCAGAGGAGGCACATGTGCTTTCAACACCACCTGGGAAGAAGGTGCAGTATTTGAGAGGATCTTCACCAATACTGATAGTTACTACTTTTTGAGTATTATCAATCTCTTATTATAATTTTTAAAAAATACACACAAAAATACACAGTATATTAGACTATGGCCTTTTACAGACTTGATGAGCAAGAATTATATTTTCCTGTGTTGAGTTCCCGCTCATGACACCCTGCCCCCAGACCAGCTCCCTCTGAGAGGAGGGTGGGTGAAGTGCCACATCCCTGGGAGCAGTGTGCGGACTTAGACCCCAGGAATGTGAAGGGGTCAGAGACACCACCACTAGCTGCACACGGTATGAATATAATAGGGTTGATCAGGGGAAAGCTTTCAAGCAGAGTGGGAGCAGGGTGCGTGAAATCCCCTGAGCTGTCTCATCCTGCAGCTCCGGCTGGGCATGGGAGGTGTGCGTGCACTGGTGGCCAACACTCCAGTGGACAGGCCTGTCCCCTTAGGGCTCTACCTATTTATAGAGTCGGGAACAGGGAGCAATTGCAAGGCCATGTAGTATGAAAGCTCCCTGGTCAGAGAAGTGACCTGTCAGAAAGGGGACGGCAGAGCCAGTGGCTGTTTTCAGTATGTACTTTTGTTGAACAAACTTCGACCTGTGGAGCCAGCTCTCTTTTTTGCTCCCATGAAGCGGAGAAGAAGAGCCTCCAAGGCAATCCAGATTTATTGGCCGCTTGTCCATGTCGATTCCTTGGTGCTCCTGCTATCATATTTCCCATGGCTTCTGTTGATGCCCAGGGGTCTGTGCAGTGAATGGGCTCCTCTATGTGGTTGGAGGGGATGATGGATCCTGCAACCTGGCTTCGGTGGAGTACTACAATCCTGCCACTGACAAATGGACGCTGCTGCCAACCAACATGAGCACAGGGCGGAGCTACGCAGGTCAGTGTGCCCCACCCCACCCCACCCCACCCCAGCCCACGGTGGTACAGGCGGGCAGGGGGTAAGCTTGCTGACTTGGAACTGAGAGCCTCCTCCAGGGATGGCCACTCCATCATTCTGTGCTCATTACAGATACTCATACTTAGCACTTGTTTCCCCAGCAAACCTGAATGTATCCTCGGAAGTCTTTTCTTTTTCTTTCTTTCTTTTTCCCCCCCTTTGTATCTGTAACCAAACTTATCCCTGGGCCCAGCAGAGGCGATCAGGGCCCATGAGTCAGTGTTTCTATGGCAGCCTCCTGGACCGGTACCTGCCATGAGTGGGCAGGCACTGAATTTCACACGGCTGCGCAGAAATCTTTACATAACGCTCCAGGGAGCCTCTTCCAATTGATCTAAGTCATTATAAGAGGCTTTGGGATTTTGTTGCCATTCCTGGTTTGTTTCGTGCTGGTCTAGGTGGAATAAGATGCAGTTCTTGCTTTCCAGAAGTTGGAAGTTAAGATCTGCCTACACAAAACAGGACATACAAGATGATGCACACATAAATTCTAAGTGGAATGCACTATACAGGCTTTAGGACACAGCAGGTGAGAGCTGGCAGAGTCAGGGAATATCTGCTGAGGAGATGGGGCTGATTAAACGTTGAGGGCAGATCACAGTCACACGGGAAGCTGCCCTTTGCTATGCCTCCTCCCTGTGCCCCTGGGCAGTGTGTTAGTACAGTGCAGATGTTTTCAACAGCCCTCTGGTCAAATGGGACTGTTTTCTTCCATGTTATGACACAGGTACAACGGTTGGGTCTGATGAAACTAAGACTTAGAGGGTTTGAGTAACCTGCTCAAGACCACGCAGCTAAAAAATGGCAAAGTCAGAATTCAAACCAGGCCTGACTCTCAAACCATGCCCTTGGTACGACCCCAGCTCCGAGTTGGGGGGAAAAAGCATTCCACGCAAGAGACTGGGGGAAGGAATACGTGAGGCTTATTCCTGGGGAGTGTGAGTGATGGGTTTGGTGCAGGGGCAGGATCAGAGTTGGTGTTGCTGAGGTCAGGGGTCAATAGGGAGACAAGCAAACATATTTCCATCATGTAGCCCTGTGCCTTGTATCTGGTTCTCCAGAAACTGGAATAATTGGAATAATTAGAGCTAACGTGCTTATTGAGCACATACAGTGTGCCAGGCATAATCCTAAGTATTTGAAGACCCTTATCTATTTAGTCCACGTAAGGACGACGCTGACGGCATTCCCATTCCCTTTCTGTGTTAGGAAGGTCAGTCCCTCCTCCTTGTTTGGATTTCAGGGCAAAGGAAGATTGGGCCTTGCAGGCTCACCTCCCACATTCTGTCAACACAGGGCTTCAATTGCAGTGAACTTATTTTACTTTCATCCGCTCATTTAGGATTTTTCTCTACTCAATATAAGAGATGTTAGAGGTATTTTTGTCCTAGAGTGATTCTGTTCTCAAGGTTAATTATTAAAACCAGGACTGTCATTTTCTTCTCGAAGTCGTAGTGGGACAGGCAGGGCATTTTCTAGTAGGAGGCAGTGCGGCCAGCGAGGGACACTCCTAGGCTCCATGCATGCCTGAACCAGAGGGGAAGGCTCAGGTGTGATGCTTAGAATTACCTTGCCCTGGGACTCTGGGCAAGGCAATCCATCTGACTGAACCTCTGTTTCCTCATTTGTAAAGTGAGAATGAAATTATACCAAGCCTCTTAGGGCTGTTGTGAGAATGAAATGCGATTATAGTTGGAAAGTGCTTAGCACATGGAAACCACTCAGAAAATTATTGTGATTATATTAGAAGCCAAATATTCCAAAAAGGTAATGGTGATTCTCTTTGTATGAAGGGACTAAAGTTCTTCCACTTTGTATTCTTCTTTACTTTCCAAATTTTCAATAATGGGAATATTTTACTTTTATAATAAAAAGGGAAAGTTTATATTAAAAAAACAATACAGGAACCTGCTTTAAAAAAAGAAGCTACCTTATGAATGGGAAGCCTCAGGTGCAGTGAGATGTCCTCAAGGTCAGGCAGCACATCGGGTCTGAGGACTCTGGTTCTGATACAGCTAAGCATTTATGTCTGTACCTTTGTCTAGAAGTGACCTTGAAATGGATTTCTTAGCAGAATCTCACTGCTGGGGTACACTGCGGTTTCTTTTAGCAATACTCTCTTAATTTCACCTTCAACCAGGAGGTTTTATAGTCATGGGAATATATTAAAATAAGGCTCCAGGTACCATCATTCCTGTAGACCCTACACGTCAGTTAGGGTTTTATTCAGCTGCAAGTACCAGAAAAGTTCACAGTTACCTGTTCAAGTATGAAAGGACTGTGCTTGTCTCGGGCAGAAGGAAGTTAAGGGCAGGTCTGGAGGCTCAGACTGTGATTTCCCACTGGCTTCATCAGTAGCTTCTGCTGCCCCTTGGGCCTTGCCTGAGCACTCCAGGCAGGACAAGGGACGAAGCCAAGGTTGTAGCACTGGCAGACTTGGATCACAATCGTGTTGGACTTGCATCACAATCGTGTTGGCCGGGACTGGGTCACATGGCCCTTCCAGCTGAAAGAGAGTCTGGGAAGCTGGGCTCCTAACTTGCTGGTCTCTGTATGGAGGTCAGAAACTAGGGGGGATGTTGACGGAATCAACCTCCCCAGTATCTGCTGTGTGGCTCCATCCATTGCAGAGGGGTGCAGGGTCATACATGGATTTACAAAGTTGGTTGTTGAGTGTGGTTCAACTTGGCTAAAACTGCACCACATACAGACATGTCTGGTTTATTCGAGGACAGAACTTAGCACTGGGGGGTGGGGGGTTCACTTAGATGACACTGAATAATATTGGAATGCAGTCTAAAGAGGTCAAGAGGCTACAGTGTAGCTTGACCCGATGGCAGAGGTAGGATTGCAATTTAGTTTTCCCTTGCTGCAGCTTAGGATGTCATATTCATGGACTCTTTGGAGAGACTGAGATGATAACGTTCTCCCCCTTTTGTCTTAGGTGTTGCTGTGATTCACAAGCCCTTGTGACCCCCAACTCCCACTTCCAGGACGTGGGGTCAGGGAGGGGTGCTGCCTGGGACTCAAAAGAGAGGGGTCATGACGGCTGGATCCCACTCAGCTGGATCCCACTCGCTTGGAGAGTCTGCAGTGAGAACCGCACTCCTCTGACTTGGCAGAGTGGAGTCTGGAGTGAAGACTGGCCCCACCTCCTGCATCTCTGAGGGTGTTTGGCCTCTGCCCCGAGCAATGGGTTCTGGTAGCTTTGGGCTACAGGGAGAACGTGTGTCTGAGAATGTGGATGTATGTGTGTGTGCGTCAGAGAGAGTGTTGTGTATATGTGTGTTTAGAACATGATATCTCACTAAGTTCGGGGCGGGGTGTGACAGTCTACTGGATTTCTGTACTACTGATCCTTCCGCTGTGCTAAAAATCAAATCACAGACACTCTCTTCCTGTGGGCACCTGAGACTACTGCCGCCTCTGTCTCCTGGAGGGCAGGGATGCCAGGAAATGACTGGTAGGAGAGACAGTGCTCTGGCCATGCCCACATGCTGGCCTTGACTCTGGCACTGTCGGCAGAAGAGATGAGCATCCTCGAAGTTGCACTGTGAACTCTCTGTGCTAGAACTAGGAGCAAGCAGGTGCCCTGCCCCTCAGCCGGCTCTTCCTTGGTCTCTCCTACAGGAAGCACACAACAGCTGCTCAGTCTTTGGACCACTGGTTTTTGATGTCATGAATTCCAGGTTTGGGAAGTTTGTGTCTCTTCAGCTAGCTCTTCAGAGAAGCCCCAAGTAACACACTAGGAAAAATATACGAAAATCAAAAACCAAAGTGGGAAGGCTTCAGTCCCTGCCCACAAAGGTCTCAGAGAGAATCCTACTTCTGGATTTTTCCAGGATATGCAAGTCCCCATTATATTTATTATCCAGAAGCAATTATTCCCAACATCCTTTTTACCATCGAAAGTGTTCTGATATGGTGGATAAGTAAAAGGTCACCCTACCTCCAACCCGCAGCCTGGTTTGTCCTGCATCGGATGGGGTCGCATGTGCTTCAGACGGTCATGGATGGAAGGAGTGTACCAGCTGGGCTGCTCGCTGGCACTTTGTGATGGTGGTCAAGTCTGTCTCAGGTCCTTGTCTTCCTTTCCTTGTGCTCTGTACCCTCTCTCCAGCCCTCAGAACACTCCCCTCCTCCTTGCTTCCCCTGTGGGGAAGGAGATGGTAGGCTCTGGATGTGTGATCTCTCTCAGGGGGACCTGCATTTTAAGAGAGGAGCTAAAGAGAATTTTGCTAGTCCACAGGTAAAAGTGATTAAAGACAGAACTTCAAGAATCTGCAGGGAGGTATTTGAGGGGGCACAGAGTCATTTGCATTAAAAATAACCTTAAAGCTGTGCTGCTCCTAAATTAGCAAGTTGCTTATGTTGGGATTTCTGGCATAAGGAGGGGAGGTCTTGTGTCTGGAGTTTAACCTTCCATGATGTTAGGGTCCGCCCAGAGGGAGCAGAGGGACTTATGAGCCTGATACTGGACTTCTGATACATCTGGGCTCCTTCCAAGCAGATGTAGGAGACCAGCATTCCCTCCACCTCATGCTCACAATTGGAAACGCAGGATCTTCCCCTCTAGTTGGCCACTTTATGTATTTACAGGATATTGTGCACTAAACACTGAACTCTCTTGAAGATGAAACTTCTGATGTTGAGCAGATGTCATTTCATTGAGACATTTGGAGAGGACCAAGGCACCCAGAATTTCTAGTCTTGGGGAGAGGCCAGAAATACCAGCTTTGGTGGGGCCGGGAGAAATGCCTCCAGGCGAGTTGGGGCGCACTTAGAGTCGGTGCTCGGCGCTCACCGGCACGGAAACATGGAGGCATGGAGACATGGAGACACAGGGACACGGAGACACAGAGGCACAGAGACACGGAGATGGCTAGTTCTAGAGCTCTTCCTGGCTCTGGGTTGGAAGCTGATGGAATGAGCTTTTTGTTCCAAATGTTCTTCCTCCCTCTCTGAGGAAGGTTTGGGACTTAGTTTTGGGGTGTGTGTGTGTGTGTGTGTGTGTGTGTGTGTGTGGTGGGGATGAGGGTGAGGTTGGGTCTGATGTGTGCTGTTCCCACAGCTGGTTTGAGATCCCATCCCCTCCCCTACACGTAGCAGCTGGACTTCCATTCTGTGTGGGAGAGGCTGCTGTTTGTGTGTCATCTTCCCAGAGGGTCCCTTCCCTGAAAGCTAGCCATGTTTCCTGTTTTTGGGCTTTTGCTATTGGTTCCCCCTCCCTCCTCCCTTCCAAGGAAGCACTGCCCCTACTGGTGGTGCCGCTGAGGCCATGTTCATTTTCTCCTCGTGCCCTTTCTCCTGGGGACTGGGACACTGGTGTGTCATCACTAAAAAGCCAAACTGCTCTAACTGCCCACAGATGCCATAAAAACTAGATGCCTCTTTGTCACCAGGTACTATTCTCTCTCCACTGTGGACACAGCAGACTTATTTCAAGTCTATGCTGGTCACGTGTTAGATGAACCCCCAACCCCCGTTCAGGTGGCCACAACTACTTGTGAATGCAGCCTTGCCAGTGGTGTGTCTGAAATCCGATCACAGTCATGAAATGGAATTGCGGCCCAAGGTTACAAGCAGCTTAGATGCCACTTGGATACTGATTTGGACTACATAGAAGCAGACTGAATTCCAAAGTAATTTCTCATACGTACCCAATGGCATCTCTCCATCTAAAAGTTGCAGTATTATGCAAATGAAAGTGACCTCATCTTCTCTATGCAATAAGAATACTTCATTTTGTTTCATGGCACACCAGTTGCAACATCCCTTAAGATGCTTTTTAAGCTGTCTTACTTTTGATATCTGTTGTGTGATGTTCGTATATTCCTGAGCCAGATCCTTTCAGAGACTGCCTTTTTATAAAATCGAAGCTATAGCATTCAGGCAAAAATTTAATGTAGGTATTTTTATAAGATAATTTTTCAGGATATTTGAATTGCTTTTTGTTGTCCATGATAATGAAATGTTATGTTCTGTCCGTCATTCCCTATGTTTAAGAAACATAGTCCATGCCTATAGCTATCTTCCCTTCGTTTCTCATGTTCCCAAAACGGATTTTCAGTGGCTCCAGGTAGAAAACACCATCACCACCGGTGTTTCTTGAAACCCTTGGGACTAATGTTAAGCCTCCTCAGCACTCAGCCATCTGCGCCTGCTCTTTTGGAGTTTGCTTCCTGCAGTGGTGAGGCTGGTGGGCTCTCCCTGCCTGGCACAGCCTGGTCACTGTGTCGTGGGGAAGCCCAGCAAAAGGCCTGCCCCCCAGCACCTGCGCCCAGGAGTGTCCTAGGTCCAGTAGACCCATCCTCATTCTCTTCCGTCTCCTAATTCTTCTGAAGCTTCCAGCAGCTTAAGGCCCTTGCTGCTGGGTGATGCCCCTTTGGAAGCCTGTTGCCTGTGAACTTTACAGGAGGGTCACTCTCATGACCCCAGGAAGAAAGTGTCAAGCATGTGCTTCCTGGCTGCTCACACTACACTTATAAAAGTACTTGTTTTGGGGCTGTGTCTGCACTCTAGGTCTCTTTTGTGTGTTTATCTGCCATTAGCCTCATTAAAAATACTTTATTTTTATTACTATTGGGACAGGTGCCATTTGAATTGCCTCCATGCTCCCCATTTGCACCTTGTTGGGCCTAGTTGGGAGGCTGAACAAACTCATTCCAGCCAGCTGGAGTTTTCAAGTGCTTGCCTGGAGAAGCAAGGCGGTTGGAATGTATTTTCTTTAAGTGTTTGCACTATTCAGAGTTCTAAGCCCTCACGTCTAGCTGTGCTGGGTACCTACTGACCAAGCAGGGGAGCTGGCAGCCCTGCCAGCATTGGGGACGGAGAGGCTTCTCCTGCGACGGATGATCACACCTCGCAGCCTGTGCAGCCTCGTCATGGGACTCAGTGACTCATGGATCAGCTGCGGCAAGAGCACCCGGGACTGTGGCATTTGGAGAAACAAATCGCTCTAGTGCTGTGTTCTTGCCTTTGGTTATGACTTTAAAATTCTTTCCCTCCCTTTTCACCGGCAATAAAGGACCCTCGTTGGACTTAATTTGTATATGACGTGTAAAATACTTCCTTTGAAAGGAGACTCAAGACACTGAATGTGTATGTCTGTGTGGGCGCACTCTGTCTGTGATTGTCCATAGGCAGGCAGACTTGACCACTGACACCCATCCAATACATTGCATAGGAAAGGCCCTTGTCTGGTGTTTGCTGCTCGGACATTAGGGGCTGTCTATGTTGTAAAAGAGCACTCATCACGTGCTCTCTGAAGGAACAGTTCCTCCGATGTATTATTTTAACAGGAATCATGTTCTAGTTTCCCACACTTTGTTACTTTCATTTTAATAAAAGCTGAACTGTGAGAACCTTTCTCCGTCTTGGTATTTCATTTCTGTAGTCCAGACTCTCCTCTGTGTCTCAGACGTGGAAAAGATAGATTAATTCCTACATGTCTTCAGATTAAAAGTGTTTTCTCTGTAAGATCTCCTGGACAGGGTCCGGGTTCCTTTGGTCTCTGTTCTCTGGCCCAAGAACAGGGCCAGACCCACAAAGACCCAGTGAGGCCCGTCCCTCCAGTAGGTGTTTGGTGGTGTGGGCAACTGCCCGCTGATCATTGTGATGTGGTGTGCTGGTCTCAGGCACAGGGAGGAGGAGACAGAGATTCAGCTACAAGCATTGATTTTTAAAAGTTTGTTATTAGACCTAGAGGATTTTATAAGTATTATGTTTTATTAAATATACAAATATTATTAAATATACAAATATATTTTATTAAAATATACAACTATTTATTAACTATGTTGGTTCATAAGATATCAACATGTGAAATAATAATAATAGCTAACATTTATTGAGTACTTATTATGTGCCAGGCATTTTTCCAAGTGCTTTACTTATTATCGATGCATTTAGTTCCCAGCACAGTCTACTGAGTTACTATTATCTTTTTACAGATGAAGATATGAAATGCGGAGAGGTTAATCAACTTGCCTAAGGTAGCAATGGCTGCAAAAGGATGGAGCCACTCCAGAGTCT